GAAACTACCACAGCTGAAAATACCACAGAAACAACTACCGAAGAGTTATCACCGCGACCAATGTTTATCCTCTTTAACAGTACAATTTTCAATTTTAACAGATTTTCTTCTTACAATAGACTCAAGAGATCAACAGCATGGGTATTAAGATTCGTCAACCGCAGCCGACGCAAGAATTCGCCTGTAGAACTTTATGGGCTAAGCGCATCCGAAGTCAACGCGGCCGAAAAATTGCTATGTCGCGTGGCGCAAGAAGCTACCTTTCCTGCGGAGATCAATGCACTACGAGTAGGACAACCGCTAGGTAGTGACAGTACGATCAACAATTTAGCACCGTTTATTGACGACGAAAAAATTTTACGCGTTGGTGGCCGTTTAGAAGCTGCTACTTGGCTTCCATTCGATTGCCTGCATCCCATAATTTTACCAGAGAAGCACCAGCTTACTGTTCTAATCGTTACCCATTATCACGAGCGAATGAAACATCAGTACTTTGAAGCAACAATTGGGGAGATTCGCCAGAAGTTCTGGATCACCCGCATGCGTCAAGTCTTAAGAAGCGTTGTCGCGAGTTGCATAGTTTGCAGAGCTTCCCGTGCAAAACCCTCACCGCCGATTATGGGTAGACTGCCGAAGGATCGCTTAACGCCATACGTAAGACCATTCAGCTACACGGGCATAGACTACTTCGGCCCTTTGAATGTAACTATCGGCCGTCGAACTGAAAAACGATGGATCGCTCTGTTTACATGCCTCACGGTGCGAGCTATACATTTGGAGGTAGCAGCTGATTTGTCAACGGATTCGTGTATTCTTACCATCAGAAATTTTATCAATCGGCGTGGCGTCCCAGTCCGAATGCGCAGCGATAACGGAAAGAACTTCGTTGGCGTCAAGGAAGAAGCAAAACGCTTCGATGAGGTGTTTGACTGTGAGCAAATACAGACCGAATTATCTAAACGAGGAATTGATTGGGTGTTTAATTGCCCTGATAACCCATCGGAAGGTGGAGTGTGGGAACGCATGGTGCAATGCGTTAAACGTGTCCTCCGTCACACCTTGAAGGAAATCGCGCCACGTGAGCATACATTGCAGAGCGTCTTGATTGAGGCCGAGAATATAGTGAACTCTCGGCCACTTACACATTTGCCGATATCAGTGGACCAAGACGAACCGCTTACGCCAAACCATTTTTTACTGGGTACCGCCAATACAGCGCAAACGCCTTCTAGAAACGCTTCGGAAGAGCGAACGTGTGCCCTTCGTAAACAGTGGCGAATTGCTCGGCAGCTTCGCAATAGGTTTTGGAAGAGGTGGATAATGGAGTATTTACCTACGTTAACGCGAAGAACCAAGTGGTGCGAGAAGACGAAAGCATTGGAAGTGGGTGACGTGGTGTTTATATGCGACGTTAATACCCCGCGACGACAATGGTGCCGTGGTGTGGTGGAGCGTGTTTTCTCTGGAGTGGATGGTGTAATTCGGCGCGCGGACGTCAGGACTAGCTCTGGTGTAGTACGTCGTCCTTCTTCAAAGCTGGCCGTTTTGGACGTACGTAGTGGTGAATCTGAGTGATCCACGGGGGTGGGAATGTGACAAAACGTCCACCTCTAACTTATCGTAGTCAAATTTAAAGTG